GGTTTATAGATCCACAAGAAGAAAAATGATCCGTTTATGGAAATATATTTATGTTTATATATCCACAAGAAGGAAAATAATCCGTCTATGGAAATATATTCAGGTTTATATATCCACAAGAAGGAAAATAATCTATGGAAATATATCCAGGTTTATATATCCACAAGAAGGAAAATAATCCGTTTATGGAAATATATTCAGGTTTATATATCCACAAGAAGGAAAATGATCCGTTTATGGAAATATATTCAGGTTTATATATCCACAGGAAGGAAAATAAACGTATGGAAATATATTCAGGTTTATATATCCACAAGAAGGAAATAATCCGTTTATTCAGGTTTATAGATCCACAAGAAGGAAAATAATCCGTTTATGGAAATATATTCAGGTTTATATATCCACAAGAACGAAAATAAACCGTCTATGGAAATATATTCAGGTTATATGTCTTCTACAAGAAAACGAAAATAATCCGTTTATTCAGATTTATATATCCGCAAAAACGAAAATAATCCGTCTATGGAAATATATTCAGGTTTATATATCCGGAAGAACGAAATTACAAATTGAATTAACACGCAAACACGAACGCTCGAACACTTACATTTATACGGACATGTATACGCACTTTTTTTATAATGATAATAACGTAAAAAAAAGGAAGGGGAAAGAAGAAACACGTAGAAGCATATGTACGGAAATGAGAAAGAGACATGAATAAAAATCTTACACGTTTTTATCTTTATTTTATCAATTTATTTAGTTATCTATTTATCTATTAATGACATTTCAGTGCTCTTTACTTCTCGTGGATCAATAACACAATAAAAGACAACAATAATAATAATATGAACAACAGGAGAAGTAATATGAACAAGAACAACGAATTAAACAATATGAATAACAACAAAAAACAACATTAACAAGAACAACAAAAAACAACACAAGAAACAAATTTCCAATACTGCCACCACCAACAAATTGTCCGAATCCCTGCCCCGGAAACCCGGCTCACCTGTATGGAAACAATGAAGAAGCAAATGCACAGCTGTGACTTCGGCGTGATGAATGAAGGTCGCTTGGCTGTTCGTTTCCCTGCGTTGAAGATCCTGGCGATGCGATTCGTCTTGGTCAGGAGGGCGCTGTACACCACGGCGAAGCAGAAGCCAAGGCCGAACCTCTGAATGCCGCACACAACAGCTGATGGCTAGAGATTTTGAACGAAAGAGGAAGAGAGAGAAAAAGAAGGTTAAATGGTGCATTAAAGTGATGGATGATGATGGAGAGGAAGGCAGGTAAATGGATTAAAGTGGGAAGGGTTATTTTTGCAAAGCATAAAGTTTGAGCTTACGTTCAGTCAAAGGTTAATTCGTGCAAACCGTCTCTCTGTCTTTCCCTTTCTCTGCATGTAAGTGCATATGCGTGTATATGTATGTATTGTATGTATTATATATATATATATATATATATATATATATAATATATATATTATATATTATATTATATATATATATATATATATATATATATATATATATATATATATATATGTACAACACACACACACACACACACACACACACACACACACACACACACACATATATATATATATATATATATATATATATGTGTGTGTGTGTGTGTGTGTGTGTGTGTGTGTGTGTGTGTGTGTGTGTGTGTGTGTGTGTGTGTGTGTGTGTATGTATATATAGATTGATGTGCACCGGAAAGCATTATTGACAATGATTGGTGTGTGTGTGTGTGTGTGTGTTTGTGTCAGTGTCTGTGTGTGTGTATGTGTGTGTATGTGTGTGTGTGCGTGTGTATGAATGTGAGTGAGTAAGTGTATGTGTACGTGTACGTGTGTGTGCGTGTATGTCTGTATATGCGTGTGTATGAGTGTGAGTAAGTCCATGTGTACGTGTACGTGTGTGTGTGCGTGTATGTGTGTGTATGCATACCACTTACCACTTTCCATCCTGTTCTCATTCCTATATATTTTGGAGACTACAAGTGTGTCTAAACAAAATGTCAAAACCGAAATATTCTACAGAAAACGATCTTTAAGGATAAATAATCTATACATTAAACATAACAGAGATAAGTGTCATTAGCCTCAGCCACAGAAAATATAGTTTATTAAAGATATTATACCAAAAAAAAACAAAAAAACAAACAAAAAAACAAGTATTTTTCTTTGCTCCATTCTTTCATTCTTGATCAATTATTCATTTTTTCTTATGTAGTAAGTAATAAATTGATTAATTCATTTTTTTTCCACAATGCAATGTCTACTACAACTCTAGGTTTCAGGACGGTCAAAGTGTTGCTACGAAGACTAAGAAAACTAACGAAGACTAACGAAAAGACTAGAGAAAACTAAGAAAACTAACGAAGACTAACGAAGACTAAAGAGAAGACAAAGAAAAATAAGAAAACTAACAAAGACTAACGAAGACTAAGAGAAAACTAAGAAAACTAACGAAGACTAACGAAGACTAGAGGAAACTAAGAAAAACTAACGAAGACTAACGAAGACTAAAGAAAAAGACAAAGAAGAATAAGAAAACTAACGAAGACTAACGAAGACTAGAGAAAACTAAGAAAACTAACGAAGACTAAAGAAAAAGACAAAGAAGACTAAGAAAACTAACGAAGACTAAAGAAAAAGACAAAAAAAGACTAAGAAAACTAACAAAGACTAAAGAAAAAGACAAAAACAAGACTAAG